TATATAGTTTTTTCCCCCAGCTTTGAGGTGCAGATTTAGTAGGAACTGTATGTGAGTGTCCTAACTTCTTTCTGTTAGGTCCTACCTCTTAAAAGGTTCTATCAGTTTCAGACAGTGCCAACCTGGGGACCAAGCCATAAACCTTTGGGGGGACATTTAGGCTCCAAATTATAGTACCTTTAAAGTACTAATAAAATAATCTAAAATAGTTTTCAAAAACTAGACCAAAAAAAAAAAAAGCATTACATGTAAATGACCTAAACATTCCAATTAAAGGGCAGAGCTTTTTAAATTGGGTGGAGAAGCCGTACTTTGTTGAATTTTGATCTTTTCTTGGGCTAGTGATAGCAGCGCAATACTCTGAGCCTGTGCTGGGTAGGGCTAGAGCGTCGCAGCTGCCAGTTAGCCGAGCAGTCGGGAGGGGAAGCAGCCTGTGCTATGGAGTGCTCTGTATTGCCAGCATTTCTGGATACAGGATTCAGTGAATCATATGAGCTATTCATCCCTTTATTATAAAGTAGACCTTGTGTTCCATAGTTTTGCCCAACTTTAGGTTGTTGTAAGTATTCTGAGCATGTTTAAAGTAGTCTAAATTAAGCTATGACATTTAGTAGTTGAGGTGTATTACATGCATTTCCATTTTACTGTATTTAGGGACCAGGAGGATTAACCCCGTTGTAAATCAAGGAGCATCTGTAGAAAGGAGCCATATCTATCACATGAATATTTCAGTAGATGCAGAAAAAGGATTTGATAAAATGCAATACCCTTTCTGCCCTTTCCTGCACCCTTTTAAGGTTGACACAGTGCCTTAAGAGGCTGATTCAGAAGGATAAAGGAAGCCTCCATAAAACCCAGAGAAGAGACTGGAACTCCTCTTTGGACCCTGTCTGGAGTCACAGATGGAAAAAAAAAAAAAGAAATTCAATACCCTTTCATGACACAAATGAAACTAGAAATGGAAGGGAACATGCTCAGCCTCATGTAGGGTGCTTGTCAAAACCCTGCATCTAGCAAAATACGTCATGCTCAAAGCCCGGATGCTTTTCCCCTTAACAGCAGGAACAAGACAAGATTGCTGCCCTTCTTGCCTTGACTCAGTACTGCAGACAGTATCTCAGCAGAGCAATCAGGCAAGGAAAAAGAGAAGGTATCCAGATCTAAAAAGGGGGAGGAAAACTCTGTTATTGACATGATATTGTGTATAGGAAATTCTAAGGAATCTATTTAAAAAGACCTAATAACAAGTTCAGCAAGGTTATAGGACATATCGCCGGTATATGAAAAGCACGTTTCTTTACACCAGCAGAGAATAAACCAAAATAAATGTTAGAAAAACAGTTTCACTTATCATAGACTCACAAGAACAAAATACAAAGGAATTTAATAAAAATATGTACACTAAAAACTAAAACTGTTAAAAGAAACGAAGGAAGATCTAGATAAGTGGAAAGGAGGCCCATGTTCATGGATTGAAATACTTAATTTATAAAAATGGTAGTATTTCCTAAATTGATCTTTAAATTCATTCAACCCAGTACCTGTCAAGTTTTATAACACTTTACAGGGTGGTTCAAGAATTTGTATGGGGGCCGGGGAGATGGCTCAGTGGAATAAGCGCTTCCCTGGCAAGCGCAAGGGCCTGAGTTCAATCCCCGGTTCTGAAAAAAAAAAAAAAAAGAATTTGTATGAAATTCATGTGGCCCAGAACAGCACATTGTGGGCAGAACCGAATGCCAGGTGGGAAGGAGCAGGGGCTCCAGAGAGATGCCCGCCCACACATAGCCCAGATGCCAGGGTCACCCACCTGGTTTGCCTCTGTTGGCAAGGCATGCATTGCATGCCTCCTACTTTCTTCTCCCCAAAGTT